TAAGGGTCATCATCATCATCATCATCATCATCATCATCATCATCATCATCATCATCATCATCATCATCATCATCATCATCATCATCATCATCATCATCATTGACACAATTACGGAAACAAGCGACTTTGTAAAACGATAGATGCCACACTCAGCCATTTGTTTTCGATATTCGACATCCATGTAGAGACCTTTAAGTTTCACAAAGTTCTCATCATTTATTAGCCTCTGGTCCTTAGTCTCTTTAAGCTGTATATACTCTCTGTCTACATTTTTATTCTACAATTTGGCTGGGCATGTGTACTGGTTAGTAATGAATATTGTCAAACCTCTTTCCTCTCTCCATTGTCCTGATAGACGATGGACAATGTAAAAACACTGTTTCAGAAGTTTAGCTTTAGCTAGAGCTTTAAGGCACATGCAATACAACTAGGTCATATAATATGTGCTGCCTATTAGTATTGTTACTAGAGAGTAGCATATATCACCCCCCCCCAAAAAAGGGACAAAATGACAGAAAAAACAATGAAAAGGAAGAAAAGAGATAATGACGATAGGCGTTTGACAGGAAAGAAGGAGCAAACAACAACAGAGCATCCGCCACCCACCCACAAATAACTGCTGTAGCCCAGAGGAATAAAAAAGCAAAGAGCACAGGCTCCCCCTTACCTGTAACTAGCGTTGAAACATTCGTCGTCGAAAGGATTCCCATTGACAGACATCTCTGTGATGTTTTTGTCAAGGGAGGGGGAGAAGTTAGCGGACAACTGGAAGCCAGCCGCCAGAACAACAAGGGCGATAATCACACCTGAAAAAGGAAAGAAAGTTTGGGAGGGGGGTGGTTATCGGTGATTTGTGTGTGTATGTGTGTGTGTGTGTGTGTGTGTGTGTGTGTGTGTGTGTGTGTGTGTGTGTATGCATGCGTGAGCATGGTAACGTGTACATGTATGCGAATGCATGTGTATATGTGGGGAGAGTGTATGAGTGTGCATGTGTGTATTATGAATGTACTTGTATGTTTTAATTTGTATATGCGCACGAGGTATGTTTGTTTTCCCTGCTTACCACTTTGTTCGTGTCTGTCTGTGTGCGCGTGCGTATGTGTGTAAGTGTGCGCGCGCGTATGTGTGTATGTGTGTGTGTATGTGTGTGTATGTATGTGTGTGTTTGTTTGTGTGTTTGTGTGTGTGTGGGAGAGAGAGAGAAAGAGAGAGACAGAGAGAGAGAGGGAGAGAGAGCGAGAGAGAGAGA